ATATTGACTTCACTAAAACATAGGCATAGCAAGAGACATAGATGGAGAATTATATCACTGTATAATACTGTATCAAATTGCACACGGAAATTACAAAAATCTGCAAGGCTGAAGACAGAAATAACAAAGAAAGCTCTCACAGACTAAACGAAATTGTCTTTCTTATAAGCTTTACCCAATTACTGTATATCAAGTTTAAGTGTTAGCATGTTATATAATGGTATGTTTATTAATTAAATCAGTTTAGTCAAACAAATTCAAGTTACGCACAAATATGTATAAAATACAAAATTAGCATACCATTCTCTTGTATCTGTCTGAAACTTTCTGTGCGTCAGCTGATGGCATGATTGTTGGGAATACACAAATTCCAATCTCGTCCCTTTTGAGCCATCTGTTGCCAACGAAGCTTTCACCTTCGACATGGGAAAACCGTCGCAAAAAATCCTCAGGCTTGAAATGCTCAGAACATATGACTAAATACGACGTCGGCGTCCATTTTGCACGTTTGAGGCTTATTACGAAGTCAGTCCATTTCTTTCGTTTTCTTTTCGCTTCGGGCCGTTCGTCCCCCGAATAAGAAATTGCATGCAACGATTCTTTTTCCTTATCTCCTATGTTGCTACAACCGGCAACAACGCATCTTTTCGGCATTTTCTCGCCGTTCGCATGCCTAACAAACTCGCCTAGCACTGTAAACACTTGTTTTGACACAACAGCCGGTTCATCAATTGACGTCACAAGCCCAGATCATCGGCGCTCGCTCGTGGGACAAAATGGCGTCGATTTTAGGGCAATTTTTCAAACTTTGAGAAGCCATAGAATAGCGAGAATTCAACCGATTAAAACAATTTTTTCATTTTTGTACTCCATAAATAGTGGTTATTGATTTTATGAAAAGAAAATTTAGGGGGTTAGTGGCACTTTAAGAGTTTAGCTTAAGTTCTTTTCGTGTTATTTGCTTTACTGGTATATGCTTATCTATTATAACTGAGATTCGGTCATAAAATGAGTGGAACATTGAAGATGGGTCAAGTTCTGAGGCAAAAACTCCATCCCAGTTGATATTTTGAACATCATTAATTAGATCTGAATATATTCAATTTGGAGGAATCTCTCTTATATAGTTTTATATTACTCGGAATATAAGTAAATTTATCAAAAATTAGGAAATTTGGTAAATGATCAGTAATATCATATACAATGTTGCCACTAATAACAAAATGATCAAGGGTATTCAAAAAAATATTATCAATTAATGTGGCTGAATGATCAGTTATTCTAGTTGGCTGCAAGATATGGGGTTGAAAGAAGTATGAACCCATAGTATGAAGAAATTTATCAGAATTCTGATGTGAATCCACCTTAAGTAGATCCACATTAAAATCCCCCATAATGACACAGATTTGATTTTCTTGGTTTATCTTTTCAATTCCAGAATTTAAGTATTCAATAAAAGTATCCAAGTCACCTCTTGGGTGCCGATAGACTACTCCGCATATTATACTTGCTTTTCCCTTATTTTGTATTTCTATCCAAAGAGCTTCAAATTCATCTTTTGATGTTGTCAAATTACCTTATAGGATAAGCTATTTTTGACATAAAAACCAATGCCACCAGCCATTGAGTGACTAGGTTGTGAAATAAATTGATAACCCAATATATCAATATTTGATAGCTGAGGCTGATCTACTTTGAGTTTTGTTTCACTAAGACCAATAAGTGAAAATGAATAATACAGTTCAGATATCATATTAAGCAGGTTATCAAAATTTGCAGACAAGCTTCTAATATTGCAAGCAATGCTGAAAAACATAGATTACTATTAAAACACTCACTAATATCATAATCACTATGGAAGTCATGAGTGCTATAATATTTTAAATTACTAGCTGAAGGTATCTCAACATCAATATCTAAGTCAGAAAGGTGCTGTAAATTTCTAATAGGGGCAGCATCACTTAGATATGGATATGAGCTAGCGAGTTCAGCACACCTGTCATTAACAATTGAGGTGGCATTTAAACATTGAAGGCATGTCATATTATATAAATAGTGTATAAAAAGTACTTATCGATTTGTAAGTGAAATCTTTGGAAGATCCTCCTTGCATTTAATTTTGATAACATCACTATTTTCATCCTTTCTCAAGTAAATGATTCCGTTAGAGGTCCAAATAAATTTGTGGTTCTTGTTTCTCTTCACATCTAATCCGCTTCTAAACAGAGCTTTATTTCGTTCCGTGAGACTTTCAGCAAGATATATATTATTTTCAACATAGTAGCCAATATCCTTAGTTGTCTTCGATCGTAGCTTACCCCTTGCTTTGTAAAATTTTTCTTTTACTTCTCTCCTAACAAATTTTACTATAATCAGAGGTTCCTTTCTTCTACCTTTGTATCCTTTTAGCTGAGGTAATCGGTGGCATACTGATATGTCTTCTCGCTTAACATCAACACCAATCAGCTTACCAACATTACTAACAACAGCGTTTACATTTTCACTTTGACCTGGTCCAGAAGCACGGATTCCGCTAATCTCAATACACTCCCTTCGTCCATATTGTTCAAGGTCATTATGAGCTTGATCAAGGGTGGTAACTGAACGCTCAAGTTGTTGAATAGACATTTTCAAGATCTTATTACCTTCCATAATCGACTTATTTTCCTTCTCAGAGGCTTCAAGTTTTAAGTACAGTTCTTCGTACTTAGCATTTATGAATGTTATATGTTCCACAACATGCTCGACTTTGCTTTTGAGATCGACAATCGTTTGACTTAAAGGTGTGATTTTCTGCTCAAATTTTTCCTCGAGTTTCTCGTCGAGAATCTTGATAAATTGCTCAGTGGTTAACGTAGACATAATTATAAGTAAATATATAGATATAAAGCAACAAAACTGCATTTATAGACAAGTATTAAACAAAAATTAGCGAAACTCACAGGAGCAAATTTTGTGATCGCCATCTTGCTCTTGGGGTTGATAGCCTGAGCAAATGAAGCGCGTTGTGCACCGGACATGTCCGGTGCACAACACTTACATTCCATACTGAATTAGTGCTTAATTCGAAAGCAGTCAGGGACGCCGGAACTGGGGGGCAGGGGGCGGCTGCTTGCCTTTTGCTAGGGGGCAGGGGGGGGGGGCAGAAGTGCCCTTTTAGTTGTAAAATAATACGTGATAAATCACATTTCCAACGATGCTTTTTGTAGGAAAATCACGAGATTCAGGTAATTTATAGTTTATATTTATAAAAATTTTGGGAAATTTTTGGAATTTAAAAAAATATTTTGAAGAAATGAAGAAAATTTAAGATATCCGGAAAATTTTTTGGCTTCACGGAAAATTTTTGTATGTCCGAAAGGGGGGGGGAGGTCGCCAAAAAATTTAGCAGTTAAAAAAAAAATTTCAGTAAAGGTGCCCTTGGTGTGCGTCCGCCCCCCTTTGCCCCATTAGCGTTCCGGCGTCCCTGAGAGCAGTACACGCATTTCAAAGCGAAGTAAGACGCAAAGGGCATTTTTTCAACAAAATTTATTGTTAAATTCTGTTTCCTATGACTGTGTGCCTTAATTGGAAACAAAAAATATTGAATTTGGAGGAATATTAATCGGCAATTTTTTTTGCAATTTGGCCTGGTATTGCACCCTATCTATGTACTAAAGTGCTGCAAAAGTAATCAAGTATACTATTTATAATTTCCTTACATTAAAAGGATCTACTATTGCGGACTAAACTAAATTTTAATCAGCGTATATAAGGCAGCAAACAACAGCCAAGAATTAGCAGGGCAATTTTCAAACTTTAAAAATAATTGGACCTCAAACTTTTATCTCCAAAAGTAAACAAATAGCCAATAATGCGAACATAATCCAAAGTTAAGTTTGATCACTAGAGGCAATTTTTAGGTGTAAAAAAAAAATGTTTAAATTACATATCAAACAAGGTCAAAAAGAAATTTGGTATTAATTTTTTTGAGGAAACGTCAAGGTATTTTGCTATCCGCCCATGCTTCAACACCTCCTCTCCTATAGGATATTCCTCTCGGGGAAAATTTACTTTTCTCAAAAATACTTTATAAATACGGAAACCTTATATATTTAATAATTTTAATACCTTATTGGGATTGCAAAAAGCAAAATTATTGAACTTATTATCCCACTTTTTAAAATATATGTGACAAAGTCACATGCATATATCACCGATCAAAATCACTATCACGCAGTAGCATGTTTACTTACACTCATTCTTTTGACCGAATAAGGTTTATCTGTTACCGGTTTACGTTTATGTCGATTTTGGCACCCATGAGACCAACAAGTTGTGGTAAATTAAATCCGCTAATGAAAATGATATTCGAAGAGCACAAAAGCCAGTTAACTCGCAGCTATATATGTAACGTTATCCCGTGAATTTGAATCAATCCACAATTAAAATGCTGATAATGTAGATGATTGTGAAGCTTTTACTACAGTTTAATTTCCTTGATTGCCCTCTTAAAAATGCAGAATCATAAGTTGAAATTTCACTCGTGTTGTTTTTCAAGTTTTTCCATAATATCACGAGCAATATAAATAAATTCTAAAATATCAATTCTAATGCAAACACAATTTCGATTTGATTTGATTTGGGCTGAATATTCTGTGATTCTGTTATTCTTCGCTAAGACTACAAAACAAGACCTTATTTGCAAGTTTTTGCAATTCGCGGCTCTGTATGTATTAACGTCTTTAATGTTTTAACAAAATATCAAATATAAAGTTGTTCTAAACATCGCATTCTAAACGTCGCATTTTACATGCGCCAGATGCTTTCAAAACAATGCACATAATGAGGCATTTCAGCTGATTTTATACCAAAAGTATAAATATTTAATTTAGCAATAATTATATAAGAATATATAAGATGATGTATTCTCACGACTTAACGCATAGATATTAATTTTGCAATGACATAAAGGCACAATTAACAAGAGTAGACCAATCATATTCCTTCTAAATGCATTTAATCCCATTGCATTTGGTGGCCCTGGTGGCATTTCACACATGTTGTTTTTCAGGTTTGTGCAACATATTATACGTGTTAGATACAATGTTTGGATAAAAAATCCGTGAACTGCCTGCAATAATGTAGCTACTTCAATACGTCAATATTAAAGTATTCTCGGTATTCGGTATATAATGTTCAAAAATTCAATAAGGAATTTTTCAAGATACTAAAATATTATATGGAAATTTTAACAGCAATAACAAGGCTACAATTATACGAAAGGCATAAATATTTAACTAAAATTAGGAATATATATCTATCCGTGCTAACATTTAGTGTTCATACATTCGCTTAGTTCTTCCGTAGAACATTTGTTGATAATACTGTAAGTTATGTCATTGATAACTTCAGAAGAGAATTATAATTTCATCTCTTTGGTAAGTGTTTCGTAGTATAAGATATAGTACTATTGTTACAGTTTCTTGTCAAATTTAATCTCTTGTTTCAATCATTTGTCACCCAGAAAAGACAGCATTAGTCGGTAAATTTACTTCAGTACTAATAAATTAAACTAACATGTACACGTACTATTATAAGTAAAGTCAATTAAGAGCAAGACACATCAGGAACTGATTATGTTTCTTCGCGACATTATAATGTACGTTGCTTTACACATATTACGTAGTCAATTTCATACGCATATATTGACAGCCAAATTATACTATTCATTGAATAGAAATTTTTGTAGGTTTATAATGAAACCGATATTTCTATTACACATTTTACACTTCTTTCAAATTACGTTAGTTTTGGTAACTCGCGCATAGTATTCTCAATTGCCGCACACGCGTGCGAAAGTGTGTGTTAAAATGTTCGGAAACCTTACATATTTCTTGCTATTCAATTTATTCTCCCCATCTTTTTAGCAACTTACGTTTATAATATACCCCTCCCCACCTCGTACGCTTGTATGCGAAATAGCACAGGCCCTTCGTTGGAGAGTTAGTGAAAATTCCGTAACTCCAAAATATTGAACACTTCGACATGAATATCTACAAAATGGAAAAAAAATATGAAGTTATGAACAATAACTATACTATAACTACAGAATTATCGAGAATTATCTCCCTGGTAATAATGTCATGTTTTTAATTTTTTGCGCAGAACAACAAAAATACTTGACATGCACTAGTAATTATAGTCTAGGACATGTATATGAGTTTGTATGCTTTTCATTTAGGACAGATAATCTCAACTGTTTTAGGGCAAGTTGACCATGACGGCCAACATGGTAACGCTGCCCGAACCCTGATCCGGGGCGAAACGTCTCAAAAACCACACCCAAAAACGGCACTTTCGCCATACTGCTATCTACCAAACCATAAAAGCTTTGGCTATTCTGAGGTGCTTATATGGTTCAGAGATGGTACTTTTATGGGTGGTCATTGGTAAGTGTGAAATGCCTAGCACTGATATTTCACAAGAAAATGACCATGCAATACTCACAGTCAAACGTCAATTTGTGATTACAAATTCAGATAAACAGCAGTGAACCGACATTACCTTTTTTCCTAAATCTTTTTAACAGAAACATAATTGGTACTTATTTATGTATATGTGACCTTCCTTGGGAAAACATACGTTAACGATTTTGCATTAAAACGGGCAAAAAAACGGATAACGAACGGATAGTAAACGCTTTGTCAAATCGTTTCAACGGATCCTCAAAACGTTTTAGACGTTTTGAGTAAAAAATGCGAACGGATGAAGACAAAAAATTTAACGGCTCTACGAACGGCTTTAACAAACCGTTCGAACGGAATTAAGAAACCGTTTAACGATATTCAGCGACCGTTTCAACGGATCTGTACAGAATGGTATAAAGCAGTGAACAATAATATACACTAAAACATCAGTGCACTGATCCAGAATTAACAACCATGCATTTATCCAGATGCATGCAGACGCATGCACACACAAGATATATCACTTTGGTGTTTATAAACGTTTCAAATTTTATGGATTTCCATACTAACAAAATCAAAGACGCTAAAGTGGTTTGCACTAAGTCTAAAGACAATCTGTTACCGGAGACATGCGGCGATATCAGTTTTACATAACACAGCCGACCTGAGACTTACGTATATAAGGTCTCTACTGTAAACGCGACTATCAGGACTATGCGCAATATATAATAGTTATCAGGCCTAAAACTAAAAGTATAGTACACATACGAAACATACATATAGTCTCTATAGTCTATGTAAGAAATTTTGCGTAGGATTTGTTGGCAATATTTTCGTGATTCATAATTTCAAAAAGGAAATTAAATTAATTAGCGTGGTATAATAAGATTATGCATGAAAATAGCCAGACAAGAACACTATAATAGCACAATCCAAAGTTTGAAAAATGAACATGAACTCGCGAGCTGATAATAGCTGTGTAGTGGGGATTTAGCGATCACAGTTTGAGTATGCAACGCTAAGACACAACAGCTGGAACTATATATACGTACATTATCTCATTTATCTGTGTTGATCGAACTTGTCGCGAGTGCTATTGTCTCAATTATAGCCTGTGGCTCAGACGGGCTCAGTATGACTTGTTTGATATTGTGGTATTTGTGGACACATTTCTGTCAAAAATCGGTCGTCCACTGCATGCTTAATTTACGCATCGGTAATTTCCTCTTTACTATAGCCTGTAAAACACGGCAGGTCTAAAATTCAGGGGGCTGATTGTTAAATTATTGTCACTATAATATTTTCCGTAATGACTGAACTAATGCGGTCACAATGGATTTAATAGCATAATAGTAAAAGGTCAAGTACCTACAGACCTACTTAAATTAAACCAACTATAAAACAGTTTGAACG